AAAAAAAAAAAATTAATAAATTTGTTTCTATACTTGAGGAAGAGTTTAACCTTCCTAACTAACTGAAGGCCTCCGAAGAATATAGAATATCTATTTATTATTCCTCATTAAAGGTAGAGAGCCATCTATCATATCAGACTGCTCTCCATAGGATATGAGGTTAAATATAAGATTCGAACCTTGAACCTTTCATATAAAATGTCATTAACAAATTCGGATAAAATTTTTTCTCTTTCTTACCATTGACATTTCCAGTTGCCTTTTGGTACTTGATCAAGTGGTGGTTGTAGACAATATGTATGATAGGATATATCACAATCATCACATAATAATAAACGAGATTCATCTGTTGGTTTACCACAACCTTCACATACAGTACAATCTAAACAACGCCAGCCTTGTTTTAATATAACTTTTGATAACTAAATTTATTCATATTAAAAATTAAAATTCAAAAAATTAAATATATATATTTAAAATTTTACTTTATTTAATCCAGCACAATATGAATGATAAGATTGTCCACATTGTGTACATGATATTAAACGTCCTTCTTCATCTAAACCAAAACTTCCACAACTAACACACATATCTTGTCCTAATGTATATAATTCATCTGTTGAACAAAGAACTGTTACAGCATGATGTTCATCATCATCACGTTTAACAGCTCCAACTGTATATGAACTACCCGTACTACCAGTACTTGTATTTAATACATTCATTGGTGTTATTGATGTTTCATCGATATTCTATTATATCAAAAAAGAAAAAAACAAATGAAAATTTTAGATTAAAAAAAAACAATTACTGATGATTGAATAGGAATTTCTTTTCGAATTTTTGGTGGACGACCACGACAACCAGTACCAGTCGTTGTATTCGTACGTGGTGGATTTGTACCTGTCATTTGAGTTATACCAGTCGATGATTGAGGTGAAGATGCACGACGATGACCATTATTTAATGTCTATCAAAACAATCGAACATTTAATTCTTTACATAGGAGAAAAAAAAACAAGAACTTACTCGTCTAGCTCGTTTTTTACTTATTTCACCTCCATATGAACGATTATCAAAAATTGGTTTTCCTTTACCAGATTTTTGACTTGTTTGTGTACGTAATGATTTAATTGGTTGTTGTTGTAATATTGGATGTTCATCATCTTCTTGTTTTATTATTGGTATATTAATTATTGTTGAAATAGGTAAATCCATTGAATGTTCAGATGATTCATCTTTTATACTAGATAATGATTCAAATATAAATGGATTTTCATGTTGATGAATATTTGTTATTGGTGTTGACATTTCATTACTATCACCACCGGGTGTATATTCAAGAGATGATTGTTGACTATAATCAATACTACGACGTTTACGAGTTGATATACCACTACTTGGTGAAGTTGTAGGTGAATTCTAAATAAATAAATTCTGCATTATCAAGATCG